TGATCATAAGGCCTGAGAGAGTGGCCGGAGATGAGGGGTGCCTGGGAGCTGTAGTTGGGCCAGTGCAGGCTCTCACTGGAGTCCCCCAGCCTCACGCCCTGCACAAGTGCCCGGGTCCTGCCTGCTTGCTGCCTCCCTCCTGTGGGGGCTTGGAGATTTGGGAAGGAGGCGCTGGCCATGCCTGTGGCTTCAGAAGTTCATCCTCTCGCTCCTAACTCAGCCCCAAGAGGTGATGCCAACAGGACCCTGAAGTGAGGTGGGGTCCCATGGCTGCTTGTGCAGTGGGAGAGGGGCAGGAGTAGAGTATCCCAGGAGAGAGGGGTCTGGCCACCTCTCCTGCTCGCCTGGCTATGGCTTCCCCTGCCTCTCCGGATAGTGGGTCATTCTGCTTGGGCCTGGCCACAATGGGGTGTCCAGCTGGGTCCCCCTACCAGGGCTGCCTATGTGTTTCCTGAGGGATGTAGAGCATGGCAGAGACCAGGCAGCTTGGAAATGCCAGTGGGCTACATGAGAATCTCCAGACACCTGCACCCTGGATGGCATGAGCGTGTGTCCTCCCAGGCCCACAGCAACCAAGATGACTTGGTGTCCCTCCCGTGTCCCCGCATTTCCTCCTGTCTGGGAGTGCTCCTCCTCCTCCTGTGCAAGCTCCCCGTGGGTGGGAAGCCCGCCCTCTGCCATCTCTGCATCACTTATCTACTTTGGAAATGCTTCCACATTTTTCTTAATTGAGAGGTTTTTCCTCATCCAGAGATCAGCCAAAAATTCCCACTATCTTTAACATTGTGGTGAAATGTAACAGAATTTTACCACTTCAGCCACTTATATGTGGCTCGGCGGCATTAGCACAGCGACGCTGCTCTGCAGCCATCTCCACCAGCACTGCCAGAACATTCTCACCTTCCCGAACTGAAACTCTGTCCCCATTAAATGACAACTCCCCACCCCCTTCCCCAGCCCCTGGCACCCACCATTCTACTTCCCGTCTCTATGATCCAACTCCTCTAGGGACCTCACACAGATGAGTCAGACAGTATTTGTCCTTTTGTGACTGATCTGTTTCACGTAGCATACTGTCCTCAAGGTTCATCTGTGTTGTAGATGTGTCTGGATTTCCCAAATCCATTCTGGGAGCTCCACCGGCAGGTTCGATGTCCTGCGAGGACCTGTTGAGTTTCAACATTTGAAGTTTGGGGGACACATTCAGACCACAGCATCCACCTTTTTGGCCATTGAGGATAATGCTCTATGAACATGGGTTTACACCCCACATATTTTTGATGGTTATATTGCTGACGGCTCTTATTAACTGGAGTTTGTCTCAGCACATGATGTGAATCTTAAATGGAAAATACCCCCATCTCGTTCCCGCCTCCTGCCTTCCTGGTGTACAGGGTGGTCTCTTGTCCCCCAGGGGTGATGGGCTCTGGCAGTTCCATCCATCTCTGCTTGGTGGCCACTGTGTTGATTATTACATCTTTATACTCTATTTTAATATTTAATAGGGCAAGTCTCCACCCAAAACTGAGCTGGGCCAAAATTCCCTAGCATCCTGTTGCCTATTTATTCTCCCAGGTTCTTTTTAGCACTATTTTTACAAAGCTAAACAATGAATGTTTTACTCAAATGTTCGTGATAGCATTATCCATAATAGTCAAAAGGAGGAAACAACCCAAATGTTTATCAACAGATGAAAATGTACACAAAATGTGGTCCATCCATACAGTGAAATATCACTCAGCCCACACGCTGCAATGTGGACGCACCTGGAAAACACAATGCTCAATGATCTAAGCCAGACACAAAAGGCCACATAGTATGTGATTTCATTTACTCGAGGCATCTGGAACAGGGAAATCCACAGACAGAAAGTATAACTAGGTCACCAGGGTCTGGGGGAGGGGGTGGGGAGAGACTGTGTCCTGGGTGCAGGTCTCCTGGGGTGATGGAACATTCTGGAACTAGGTAGTGGTGGGGGTTGCACAGCACCGTGACTGTAGTAAGTGCTACTCAACTGCTCACTCCAAAATGCTAAATTTTATGTCATGCGAATTTCTCAGTTCTCTGAGAACTTCAGGGACTCACAGCAGCTGGAGTTTATTATGCCCTTTGCCACCTTCAGAGAAACTGGAGCATCCCTTCCTGTTCTGCCCATGTGCAAGCCATGTTCACATCAGCACATGCCAATGCCTGCGGCAGTGGGGACAGGCCCAGCCCCGTACTTTGTAGTGGGCAGGCTGGTGGCAGATCTGGCTGTGGTCCTGTCTGGGTCCTTGGCTGGGCCTGGCTCCCCCCATCTCCCCAGCCCTGTGGGCCCTGGAGCAGGGGGTGTGTCTACCCAGGACTGGCTCCTGTGGTGCCGCCTGCACCCCGACAGGCAGCGCCGGCTCTCTGCAATGACGTGAGGGTACAGACACCGAGGTGGCTGGTCCAGGGCTGGAAAAGGGAACCATCGTCTGGGATTCCCAGGAGCTCCCTGCCTGGAGCCTGGTATGGGACCCTCCCCCTTCCTGTTGGGCATCTTTATCTCAACAGTGAGCCCTCTCTGCCACCATGGCCCCAGTTAGTGCTCAGAGATGGCTCCTGACGTGCCTGCTGGTTGCCAAGCACCCTGGGTGTGTCCAGCTATTCCAGCCATAAGAGGACGTAGGGGCCAAAGTGCAGCCCAAGGCTCTGCCCACCTCAGCATCTGGGCGGGCAGGTCCACGGGATAGGGATGGGCAGGGGGTGGGGGGATCTGGGGCCTGGGACTCTGTCCCCTCACACTGGGCCTGTGGCCTTTCCGGATCCTGTCCACATCCCCTCCTGTCCCTAGCAGGGCCGTAGCTACAGCAGCCCACACACCCATCCCAGCCCCCTTTTATCCTGGACTGTAACAAGCCCCCCAAGAAGCCCTGCTGCCACCCCCTAAAGACATCCAAGGTGCGACTTGGAGGTGGGGCAGCCAGGTGGACTCAGGAGGCTGCAGGCTGAGCCGTGGCTGGGCTGCTGGGAGGTAGCCCCCTCCCCTGCAGACGGGCCCTGCGTGGACAGCAAATGGGAGTGTCACCAGTCCCTCCTTCCCGGCTCAGTTGGGGGCTGTGCCTGGTCCCGCCAGCCCTGCCTATGGGGAGGATGGCTCCTAGCCCCATATGTGCTTGGGGGTTCTACAGACCCTGGCAAGGCCTCAGTTTCCCACCTGTCCAGGCCAGGGTGCCCTCTGCCCCCAGGACAGAAACGATTCCGCTAGGTGGAGACAGCTGGCCAGGGCACCCAGAGTCCACTTGGGGTGGCATCTCTCTGTATGGTGGAGGCACTTCCAAGAGTCAGGTTGGTAGGGCAGCGGCCCCCAACCCCTGGGCCCTGCCCTCTCCTCCCCCGTTCCCTCTGCCCAACCACCCCCGCCTGCTGCCCCCAGGGCCTGCATGGGTGGGTGGGGATGTTTCCTGGCTTTGGCTCCAACCTCAGCTCAGGTTGTGATTCTGCGGGATGACTGAGCATCCACCCTTCAGGCTGGGGACTCCACGGCCGCAGGGAAGTGTTGCTGTGCTGCGTCCTCTCCATCCCGTGCAGGATGAGGGTATGAGAATCTCCAAGTGTGTGTTTGTGAGAGGGACAAGTGGGTCCCCCTTATCTGGGGGGCCTATGGCCCCTGCCCCATCTCTCCTTCCCCTAGCAGTTGGCCATTGTCCTGAGAAAGAACCCCAGACCCGACACCACCCTCCTGGGTGGTCCCCATGGCCAAGCAAGGAGTCTGTCCCTCTGGAAACCTTCCTTGGCTGGGGGTGTATGGGGCCCAGCTGGTCAGGGATTTATGTCATGACCTGCAGGGGCCCTGGCAGGGAGGGACAGACGAGCTGGCAGTCCCGGGCCAGGGGCCTCCCAGGTGTCAGTACTGAGGGCCATGGGGGACATATAGCTGGACTTATAGCTGTGTCCCCCCAGCACCCAGGGCCTCCGGCCAGGCCACTTGCAATGCATCTGAGGGTGAGAAGGTCCTCCCTTGCCCCAGCCTGTGGCTTTATGGACCATCCCTTCAACAGGGCTCTGGCCAGCCTGCAGCTCCAGTGCCACAACACAGTCCAATATCGCGGCAGCTCAGCTAAGCCCTGGCAATTCCAGACACCACTCCTGCCAGGACACTGGGCGGCCTCATTGCCATTAGAGGGAGTGGCGCCTTGGGGGAGGGGCCAGGGAGGCCCAGGGAGGTGACTGGAGCAGGCAGATGGGCCGGAGGAGCAAGAAGAGGGCACAAGGAAGGCCCAGCCAGGTCATGGAGGTTCTAGAGTGCTGGGGGATACAGGGTAGGGAGAGGATGGGGAGCCGAGACCTCAGCGGATGGAGGCTTCCCATGACATGATGTGACCTTGGCTGACATCCGCATACACCCTCCTGCCTGCAGGGACGGGGAACACAGTCCTTGCCACTCCCAATGGGGCCCTTATTGCTCCACAGACACAGCCAGGCGTGAGGTGAACCCATGTGGGTCTGGGGCTCCCCCAGGCTCTGGTGCCCTGAGCTCATTCCAGCAGATGAGGGGACCTCATGAGCCCTAGCACATCAGCCCATCAGTGCCCAGCAGTATTCATTCTGAGAACAAGACTGCCAGCCTGGCTCGCCCCCACCCCCGCCCCACTGCAGCCGCTGCAGGGCTCTGCTGCCCTCGGACACCCCGGGAGTGTGCTGTGTTTCCTGCTGGAATCTGGGTTCTGTGAGGACCAGCGTCTTCCTCTGACCCCAAAGCCTGCAGGTGACAAGCAAATGTTCACACAGCGGTGGTGCCTGGCACAGCCCTTTATAAGCAGAAGGGTCACTCGACCGCAAGGGTGAACCCCTGGGTTGGCAACTGGCCCCCAACCATCCTGGACACAGGTGCCCCCACCCTCCCCACTGCTCCCAGACCCGCCAGCTGCATGCCAGTGCTCAGTCGGTGCTCAAACATGGCTGGCATCCTGCATGGGACATTGCGGTTGGGCTGCGGGCACCTCTGCAGGAGAGTGCCGTCGAAGGCTGTGCGGTGGCTAGAGCTCGGCAGCTGGCTGGACCAGGTGGCCGCTGAAGGTGATGTAGAGGTCCCCGGGCTCACCGTAGATGGCGTTGTCGCGGTCGCGCTGGAACATGCGCACCCAGACAGTGTCACCGGCAGCCAGCGGCAGCAGCAGGCTCTGGGCCTGCATGAGGCTGCGCTCGCTGGGCTGCGCATAGAGGACGGCTGTCGCCTGCTGGTCCCGCATAATGTGCAGGTAGGTCTCCTTGTGGTTCCAGGTGTGCACGCTGAGGCTGAGGAAGTAGACCCCGGGTACAGCGCAGCGGAAACGGCCCGCGGCCAGGTCGAAGGCACCGTCCAGGTTCACCAGCTCCGTGTCGAAGGGCACCGCCTGGAGGCCGTCGGCCCTCTGCAGCCCCTCGCGCCGGCCCACCGAGAAGGCGGCGGAGGCGCGCTGGCACGGGGCGCCCGGAGGCCCCGCCTGCCCCTTCTGGCCTTTGCGGCCCCGCAGGCCCCAGGCACCGGGCGGGCCCTCCTTTCCGCTCCTGCCGGGGCGGCCTCTGAGCCCTGCCTGGCCTTTCTCACCTGCAGGGGAGCAAGCTGCAGGCTCAGGGCCATGCTGGCTGTGTGATACCACCTCCTTGAGCCTCAGCTTTCGCGTCTGTGGGATGGCGCGAATCTGCCCCACCCTGGCATGGAGGCACACTCCCCAAAAGGTGGCACTGTGGGGAGACTGGGAAGTTCTTATCCAAGTCTAACCTACGCACCTCCTGCTGTCCAGCCCTGGGGATGGCTCGGCCTCTGTTGAGGGCTCTCAGACCAATAAGGCCTCTCTTGCCTTCCCATGGTGGCTGCCTCTGTGAGGCCCAGGGACCCTGTCCCCTCCCTTCCCCAGGGTCCTCAGCAGCCCTCTCATTTCACAGTCTTAGCCTCACAGCTAACCCCAGGTTAGCCTGCTTCCTGCTCGAGGGAGGCAGTTGGGGGCTCCTCAGTGCGACCCATCCAGCATTCCTTTGACATGCCCTCTGGCCCCTCTTCCCAAGGCCCTGCCCGTGCCCCCCTCCTAGGATGGAGTGTGGGACACTCACCTTTCAGGATGGAGATGTCGATTGTGGGCCGCACACGGGGCAGCCCCTCCCACGGGTCTCCCCCACTCACCCGGGTGTAGGGGCCGGGGGCAGTGGCCGGGGGCCACGCTGGGCGGCAGCAGTGCACGCAGGGATGTCGGGGCAGCCCCAGGCCATGCCAGGCATCGGTGGGCAGCACCAGCACCAGGAGCAGAAGGGCAGGGGCTGCCATTGCATCAGGGCCTGGGAGCGGGAGGGAGGAGAGGAGACTGAAAAGGAGATGCCCTGCTAGACCCTCCACACCCCACGGCAGTCCCACTGTGGCCCCTTATTTCGGGGAGACAGGACATGGGGCTGGGGAGTGTAATGGGCAAGGCCACAGCTGAGGTTTCAGGGGGCCTCACTGTTCCACGAAGCCCCCGCCCCTCCCCAGGGCTTTAGCTCTGTGCTGCAGCAGGAACCCTGGCTGCCTGTAGACGGGGAGTCTGGTCCCCAAAGCTAGGGACTCCGCAACTTGCAGATGGAATAGCCGTTGTCAGGGCAAAGGGGTCTCTAAACCAGCCCTACAAACTCAGGGTGGGCCAGCCTTCCAAGACCCCCACCTGTAGTCAGCAGAGCCCTCGGGAGGGGCTGCTGTGGGGCTACAGGAAAAGGCACTGGCCTTCCTCCAGGGCTGGGCCAGAGGCCTGGGCTTGGTGGGGCAGCACATGGAGGCACAGTTTCTGCTGGGGCTGCCCCTCATCCTGGGCAACCAGGGCAGCGCCTGTGAGGAGGGGCCTCGGGAAGTTACCCCACGTGGCTCCCACCTCCCAGAGGGGAAGGTGGTCTCAGTCCTCACCAGTCCTGGGCCTCCACTCTGCCCCAAGAGAGCCCACCCAGGAGAGGTGCCAGGGGTAGGCGGGGCACCGCCTCGTTGGGGTTGGGGAGCCAGGGCCAGCATGAGTCCAGGTAAATGACTAGCAGCTGCCCTGGACGAGCCTCAATTTCCTCTCCTGGCAAGTGGGCCCTACCTTTCCTGGGCCTGCCCCCCAAGATGGATCTGGAGGCTCCAAGCCAGGTGTGAGGCCTTAGCCAGGGCTGGTCTCCTGCAGGGGAGGGTGAATGGGGTTGGGGTCCTCAATTTTCCCTGTAGCCAGGATCTGCTGGCTGAAGACCCGGGCCCTCCTCCAGGATGCCCTTGGGGATGGTGGCCCAGGGCAATTTAGGCTGGTTGACCCCAGACAGTTGAGACCCCCAGAGCCCAGCAGACGATGACCCACTTCCCTAGCCCCACAAGACCTTCCTGGATCCCTCCTGTGGAGGGAACCCGACAGGAACGGGTGTGTCCATTAGGTGCGGCCCCACAGGGAGGCCTGTGCCACTGGAGACCCCACTTCATCTCCTGGAGCTCTGGGGTCCTGGGCACTCCAGCCACCCGGCCCCGCCTGGAAGACAGTCTGGGCTGCAGCTTCCCTTGCTGGGGTCTAGAGGGGAGCCCAGCCTGCGCAGGGGCTGTGAAGACCCCCACCCGGCCCCCGGGCCCCGCCGTTCCCCGTTACCGTCTCAGGCCACGGGCGCTGCTGCCTGCCTGGCCTCTCCTGCTCACTGCCCCGGCAGCCTGTGAAAGAGCCTTTCATGCCCATGGGCGCCTGCGGCTTCCCCTGGGCCGTCCAAGACCAACAGGCCTAGGGCCAAGTGCACAGAGCTCCCGGGCGGGACGCTCCAGGGCCCTTCTGTCCACCAACCGGCCTGCCCTCAGCCACCTGCCACAGGGTCTGTGCAGCCTGCCTCGCGGGCCCCCTGTGCCCATGCGTGGCTCTGGGGACCCAGGTGTCTTGGGCTGGCCAGGTTGGGGGATGGTGCCTGGGGCTGGCGGCTCTCCTCTGTCAGAGGAAACCGAGGTTGTTGCCACGTCTGGGGTGCGACGACTGCAGCTGGGTGGAGCCTGGCAAGGGGACCCAGACCAGGGCCACCATGCTGCCTCAGACCGATTCAGCCACCCACCCACCTGGTGCCACCTCTGGCAGGGGAGTGAGGGCTGGGCCAGCAGATGGAGCCAGGCCCCGCGGTTTCTGCCCCCACCCCTGCGTCCCTCCCAGGGACACATTTAGCCCAGACTTTCAGTGGATGAGCATGGTGCCCCTTGACAGCCCCCGGCAGGAATGACTCCTGGTCCCCCAGGTGGTGGCAAGTGGGGGCTGTGTCCACCGTGAGCCAGAGCTCAGGCCCACACAGCCTCATCCACGCTCTGACCCTGGGCCAGGGGAGGGCCGGCCTCTCGGACTCTGGGCATGGGGACGTGGCAATTCCACAAGGATCGTTTCCCCAGGAGCCAGGCCACCTATTGGGGGAGGCACCAAATGTTGCAGAGAGCTGCGGGGCTGTGAAGGCAGGCTGGGGGCGGGGTGCTGGCTCACCCTGTCTCTGCTGATTCATGCACAGCCCGTGTCCAGCTCTCCCCCCAGCTCCTCCACCCTGGCCTGGCCCTCAGCTGTCCATACCGATGACCAGGGAGGAGGGAAGGATGGGAGGCAATGGGGAGACCCAGGGCAGCCCTGCCTGGGGGGCTCTGCATGCCAAGCTGAGGTCAAGCAGGGCCTGGTGAGGGCTGGGGAGTGCTGCACCAGCCGGAGCTGGTTCCCGGGCTCCCCCAAGCTGCTTGCCCCTCGGATTTGATAGCTCACTCTGAAGCAGTGGCACCCACCAGGGCCTAGCAGCTTCCTTTGGGGACAGCTGTCTTCCCACCATTGGGTGTGGTGGCACAGGTGGGGTGAAGACCTGAGGCCTCCACGACTGACTGACCCACCCCTGCTGGTGCCTGCAACCCCCGGGTCATCTCCACATAGCTCAGATCCGGAGGGCAAGGAGACAGCTCTGCAGGTGCCCAGCACCACATCCCTGTGGGAACCTCTGTGCCTGCACCGTTATTGCCCTTGGGGGTCCCCGGCTCTGAGCCTCGGTGTCCCCACCTGTGAAATGGGCACCAATGGCAGCTAGGAAGTGGTTGTGAGCATCCCTGTCACAGGTGAAGACACAAGGCCCAGCTCTGGCCACGCCCCAGGCCCCACAGTGTGTCCCCAGTACCTCTCCCTAGTGCTCTGTGACGCCAGCAGAGTTGACCCCAAAACAGATGGATGCTCACCGCGAAGCCCTGTGTGTAGAGGGAGGGCCGCAGAGCTTCCCCATGAGCAGGGCGGGCAGGGGACATGAGGCGCAGCCAAGGGGGGTGAATGTCCAGGAACAGGTCCCTGGGCCGGGCCTCTGGGCCTGCCTGGGGGGCGTCCACCTGGGCAGGGCTAGCAGGGCTGGTGCCAGTGCCACCATGGGCTCTGAGCGAGTGGCCAGCGAGGGCATGGGGTGACTCAGCATGGGAGGATGATGGGCCTCGGACAGAAATAGCTCTGGCTCAGATGCAGTCCTGAGATCAGTGGCCCACAGTGGACATCCTGCAGTGTCACAGGAGGGCCATCTGTGCCCCTCGCTGCCTCCCACCCCAGGAGGGCTCAGTGGGGTGCCTGGATTTCATTATTAATGTTCACAAGGGCAGGGGGTCCATCTGTTAGCACAAGCCAGACAGCTCCCCCACCCCCAGCCCAGCAGTTGGCCTCCATGTGGAGGGTAGGGGGTGGGGGGCGAATGTCACCGCAGACTCCACTGCACCAGGAGGGTGGACACAGGCCCCGCAGCAGGTGTGCTGGGGTCTGAACCTGGCCCAGCCACTTGCTGCCTGTGAGTGACCAGGTGGCCTGGCTGGGAGGGATCAGACAGGGGAAACCTGCGGGGCTTGGAAGGAGGTGGAGGGTGACTCTGTCGTGCCTGACATCCAACCTGTGTCTAGGCCTGGCTGGATGGTGCCGTGGACAGAGCACGAGGCCGACTTCAGGGCATGGGGGTCTCTCAGGTGGTTACGGATGGCCTGGGGAGTGGGAAGGGGGTGACGTGCTACAGCTCGGCCCCCCACCCACCACCCTTTCCTCACCTCCCACCTGCCCCTTGCTCTCAGCTAGAAGAGTCTGTCCTCTCCTCTTACCCCAATGGCGTTAGTAACAGCCACAGGACACAGCAGGGAACGGGAAGGGTCACACGCCTGTCTCAGGGATGCCTGAGTTTTCCTTATATCCTCAGGCTTCTAACCCAAGGAGACGGGCATAGGCCCCACACAGGCGGAGGGGCTGAGGACAGCCCAGGGTGGACATCAGCCCTCCTGCCCACTGTGGTGGCCTGAATTGTCTCTGGCCACTCTCCCTCTCCCTAGGACCGTGGCTGAGGGGCCTTCCTGGAACAAGCTGCACCTGATCGCCACAGCAGGTGGGAGCTTGGGGCCAGGCCAATGCAGACTCCACAGGGGGTCTCTGGGTGAGCAGCAGCTGCCTGCATCCAGGTGGCCTTGGGGGCAGGGGCTTGGACAATCTGAGAGTCAGGAGGGGACTCAGTAGGAGGGGGTGGCTCCTCATGGTCTGGCTGAGTGGCTCCAGTGTCTGGCTCTGTGCTGAGTCATGGAGCCCGGCGGGGTCAAAGTCTGCTGGAGAATCATCCCAGCAGTTCTGTTGTCACCAGCCTGCCTGTGGGGGCCCAGGTGTGAGACCAAAGATGGTGGGGAAGGGAGCTTCTGGCCTTTCTCCAGCCGTAACATACACGTGGTAGTATGACCCATCGCGGGTTGCCACAAGGCCAAAGGAGTTAAGACGTGCCGAGTGTTTTGAATAATGCCTGGCATGGCGGTTGGTCGGGGCTGGGCGGGAGGTCGGACGTGGCGTCTGCAGGGGCCAAATCCCTGCTGGTGGCAACGGGATGGCCCTGGGAGGGGGACAGGGGTTGGTTCTCATAGCCTTCCCTCTCCCAACTCCTTCCAGGCAGCCTGGAGGATTTGCCACGTGGCCTGGGGCTGCTCACTTGTCTCTGCAAGGGGACAGAATCTCCAGCCTCACAGGCGGCCATCAGACAATTAATTACCAGACAAGTGTGCCCAGCCCTGGAGGCTGTGGACCATCCTCCCCCAGGCCAGTGCCACCAGCCCAGCCTCAAAGATAATGAGCTTCCCAGCCCCCCTCCCTGCGCCCCTGCTCTTGGCTCCACATTAGCCCCCACCCTTGGGGCCCTCAGCGCTGATGGGGACAATGCCACAGGGATAATGGGGGCTGAGTGGTGTTATTATCTCCCCAGCCTCTCAACGGACGCTTCCCTGACAGAGTCCTGCTGATGAGCTGCCACCAAGGGAGGGGACAGCTGGCTTGTGTGGGCTGGGTGGGCACAGCAAGGGAGACTTCACCACCACCGCCTTCCATGAAAGCACCCGGCCCTCCTGGGAGGAGACCTGGCTGCTGAGCCCGAGCTGCACCTCAGGGGCTGCAGTCTGCCCAGAGCTCTGGACACAGGACAAGGGGAGGGGCGGGAACAGCCCCACCCCTCCTGCCTTCCTCTCTGGCCACAATGTCCAAGGTGGCTGGGAGTGGACCCCCCATTACAAACCTCCCCCAGCTCCTGAGTCGCATAGGCATCTGCCCTCCTCCCCCCCACTGGGTGCCCACCCAGTTCCAGGCGGGGAGATGGTTCCACAGTGTTCCCTGGGTGGGTCACTGCCCCAGGCCCTGCCTGGTGTCCTCGAGGGGCTTTGAGGAACCAAGTTAAATGTCTGCAGCACCAGGGAGGGGCGTGGCTGCGTGTCCTGCCACCTCTGCCTGGCAGGTACTGTCAACGGGCTTCCACAGGCCTCAACTTTCTGTCTGCAGGAGGGGGACGAGCCCCATCTCTTGAGGGCCTGGGGCCTGGCAGCTGTGTGGAAGTGATCCCTAGCAGGAATCAGGGAGGGGCCGCCTGAGTCTGTTACCCCCACCTGGCATGGGCGCCCTCCCTGACAAACCCACTGTACACACCTCCTCCCCCAGGAGGCCGAGGAGTGACGCAGCCTTGGTGGGCACCAGGAGCAGTGTGACATCTGACGAGCTCAGGGTGAGAGGCCCCCTCCCCCATCCAGCCTCCGAGCCTCGGCCTGTGCTGCGGAAGCCAGGCCCCTGCCCTGGCAAGCCCCCTGTATTAGTCTGTTTGCTGTTGCTTGTAATGGAATACCTAAACCTGGCTGATTTATAAAGAACAATTTGTTTCTTATAGTTCTGGAAGCTGGGAAGCCCCAGGTCTGGGTGCACATGTGGTGAGGGTCTTCTTCCTGGCATGGACCCTCTGCAGAGTCCCGTATTGGTGCAGGGTGTCACATGTCACCCTGAGCGTGACCATATTGCTAGGGCTGAGCAAGAGCGCATTCATGTGCCCTCCTCATAGAGCCACCAGTCCACACCCATTATAACCCACCCATCCATTAATCCACTCATGAGGGCAGGGCCCTAGCAATACGGTCATGTCCCCAAAGCCCCCAACTCCACCCTGCCACCTTGGGGATCAGGCTTCCACATGAGCTTGAAGGGAACATGTTCAGACCATGGCCCCCTCCCTGTCCCCAGCTCATACATGGCCTCGCCCAAACGTCCCCTATCCAGGCTGGTGATGGTCCCCAAGAACACTCTCCAGCCTTCCGGCTCTGCCCCCGGGCGTCCATGCCTGCCGGGTCAACATCGCTCTCCTGCAGCCGAAGGGCCGGGCCTGGATGGTGATTTTCCTTTCCAGCAGTGGTTTCTGGGGTTGGGGGGTGGGAGACGAGATGGCCAGCAGGTGTGGGGGGGAGGCTGGGAGACTGGAGGGCAGCGGGGCCCATGCTCGGAGCTTACCCCAGAGGTCTGAGTAAGCTCCATGTGAGAGGCGCCCCCTCCTCTTAGTGCCCCCGGCAGCAATTTCCACCTCACTGACCCTACACTGCTCAGAGGAGCCCCCAGCCCAGGGCTAGGTGTTCCTGTGCAGGTGGTGGGGGTGGCAAGGCCTGTACCTCTCCCCTCCCCTGACTCCTCCAGGCTGGGACAAGAGTCCAGTGGGCCTGGGTCTCAGAGAGGGTCAGAGAGGGGACCCCCCACCCACACATGCTCGGGTGTGAGCAGACCTTCTTCCTGGGGGCTGCTAAGGAGAGCTCCCTGCAACCCTGCTGATTCCCCATCTGAGCCCGGTGTGCCCTGGCAGTGGGAGTTGGCCTGGGCTGGGGGTGGGCACTGACCTGGGGAACGGGGAGGGGCTGCCCCAGAGAGCTCAGCCTGGAGATTCCCTCCCTGAGTCAGATCTGCTCAGCAGCAGGTGGGGCTTCAGGCAGAGTGAGTACTCCCTCCCAAAAGGCATGTGAGCTGAGGCTGGGGGCCCCTTGGGGTGCCTGGGGAGGAGAGAGTGACGCTGTGATCCTAGAGGGTGTCCTGAGGCCTTGAGACTCCTCAGGGTGCAGGGATTGGTGGGGGCAGGAGGGAAAGCTGCGTGTCCCAGCTCTGGGCTGGACACATTCTCCAAGGCTCAGGGACTCCTGGCCCTCGTCTCCCGTGGGTTGGGACAGTGGGGTCCTGGCTGCACAGGGGACTGAGAGGCCTGCCCAAAGGGACAGCAACCAGGGGCCCCAGCCTGGGAAAAGCCACGTGCAGATAGCTAACATGCTCTTTATTAGGGGGCCGGGGACAGGGAATGCAGGATGGGTCCCGTCCCTGGCCGGGCCCGCCCCGTCACTGGTAGCCGGCCAGCTGCAGGACGGTGGGGTAGCGGGCGCGGCGGGCCATGCACTTCTGGCGGTCTATGAAGAGGCTGTTGGTCTTGACGGCAATGTCCTTCTCCAGGCTCAGACGTGTGTCCTCCAGGTTGTGCAACGACTGCTCTGCTTCCAGAAGCTTCTCCCTCAGCGCTGTGAGGGAGATGTTCAGCTCCTCCTCCTCGCTCACCAGCCTGTGCGGGGTTGGGGGGCGTTGTGAGTCGGGGCTGCAAACGCTGGGGACCCTGGGCGGGCAGGAGTTCCTTGCCAAGGTGTCGTAGAAGGACCCCAAAGGGACACCCACCAGAAAAGGGGCCCTAAAACGCTGTAGGAGAGGGCGTGCGCCCCTTGATGGGTCCCCGGGAGCCGAGTGGGAGGGTCCTTGCGTGGAGTGAGTGGAGCCCTAGCAGGTAGCGGGGGAGGGGGCTCCCGAGTGCAACAGCGCCACTGCGTGGCAGTAACCAGCAGTAGCAGCGCAGGCTGGCCAGGACCTTAGCGCTTCTCTCCCTGGTGTCTGGAGGTGCCAAGTTTCTTGAATAAATTGAGAGACCGGGAAAGAGAAGAAGAGGGTACTTGTGCTTAGAAGGACAACTGGGCAGTCGACACACCAGGAGAACAGAAGTCATGACCCACCCCTGACTCAAGCCAGGGATACGGGTCATGCCTGCCAAGTCAGAGGTGTGGGTGGTGGCCTGTGGGGCAGGGCTGGGCCCAGCAGCCCTGTGGACTCAGGGAGCTCAGCCTGTCAGACCCCAAGATCCCTCACCAGGAGGACTAGACAGCACGGGGCAGGGCACGCCATGTGGGAAGTGGCATCCCAGTGTCAGAGCCCAGCACTCTCGGGCCCACTCCATGGACTGCGTCCAGTGTCCAGTGCCTGTGCATATGCACATGCGAGGCTGCTGGCTGCCGCCAGAGTCTCTCCTGTGAGCTTCTTCGGGGCGTGTGCGGGTGGGGGTGTTTATGGGAGCGAGGGAGGCCAGGGAGATGGATTGGGGTGCTTGATGGTGCACAGGGCCACCTGGTGCACCTGTACTGGGCGGCATCGCGGCACAGCTCCACGTTGGGCCGGTGTGAGCGCTGGTACAGGCGGGTCTGGGCCACTCGCAGGGGAGCCTCCTTGTCTTTGATGGCCTGCTTCAGCGCCGCAGCGTTCTGCTCCTGGTCTGTGATCTCCCGCAGCGTCTGCAGCAGGATGGTGCCCGTGGGCCCGAGCTGGCCTGGCCTGGGCCTGGGGCAAGGAGGGTGCCAACATCCCACCCTAGTATATGAGAAAGGCCCAGCCAGCCCCTTCCTCCTTGCCTGGCTGGGCCATCTGAACCCCCGCTGGAGGCACCCCAGGACTGCGGCTGTGTCCAGCAGGGCAACCCTGTCTACTGACTCTCTGGGAGGCGTGGAGTAGGGAGAATGTGCATGGACCCTTGAGCCCTCCAAGGTCACCCAGAGGGCTCTGGTGAGTCAGCGCACACAGCCTGTTGTCCCCTAGCTCTGGACTGAGAGCCCCCAGCCCTGGTCTGAGAGCCCCAGCCTCGGTGGTCACCAGGCCCCCAAACCAGGTCAAGAATGCAGGGGACTGGGAGCAGTAGAGGCTATGCTGAGAACCAGAGTCAGAGCCTGTTGGCCCTGGCCAGAGTTGGCGGAGACACCACCCTAGGCCCCATGCGCCCCACCTCCACCCTCTATCCTCTGCCTCACACCTGGTCAGCAGACCACCCCAATGTCACCTGGTTTGACATTTGCTTAACCAGAGTCCAGAGAGGTGTGGACGCCTGCTTCTGGGTCCCTCAAGGTGGGCGGGGCGGAAGGGGGACAGGCCTGGGGGTGACAAGCATGGAGAGGTCGCAAGCAGCCGGCCCCCGGGGCCCACCTGGCTCAGGTGGCGCTGCAGCTTGCCGCGCGCGTCCTCCAGCTCCTCGCAGCGCCGCCCGAAGGCCAGGTTCACGGCGTCGCACTGCAGCCGCAGGTCCTCCGCGGTGTCCTGCAGCACGTGGTCCACCAGCGCCCGCAGGCCCACCGAGGCCAGGTGCTCGCGCTCCGCGCGCTGCAGGTTGTCCTGCGTGAACTTGGCCCACGTCTCAGGCGTGGAGGCGCTGCGGGCGGGGGGCGTGCCGCGGTCGGGGGACGCCTGCCGACGGCTGCGGGGCCT